GTGCTGTGTGATTCACAACTCTGCCTCCTCCTCCCTCCAGGGTGACTTTAAAGTAAATCCCAGACATTGTATCATTTCATCTGTAAATAATTCAGTGTGTTATCTATCTCTAAAAGACAGGGGTTTTGTTAGAGATTCAGTGCCACTATCATATAATTTTGTGTGTGTGTGTGTGTGTGGTGCTAGGGTTTGAACCCAAGGCATATCAAAACATTTAACAGCATTCTTTAATATTGACAAATACCTGGTGTGTTCTAATTTAATCTTACACCTTTTTAAAAATTTTTTTTTAAAATTAAGACCCAAACAAGGTTCTCTTAAAGCATATGGTTGATTGGTTTCTTCAATCTTAATCTACAGGTCCTTCTTCCTTGTGTTCGCCTTTTGGTTTATACTTTTAAGGAACAACGGAGGTGTAAAATAAGGCAGTCGCTAGGTTTTAATTTTTGCATTTGCTGTCCTCTTGGCTCTCATCCACATACATGATTTTGATCAAAAGAGAAAGCTAGGCAGGGGGCCGAGTCTGGAGCTGTTGAGGATCTGAGATAGCTGTAGTGGCTCCTCTGGGGCCTCTGGGTTTTGTCCCCCTCCATCCCAGCTGGGCTCCTGTCTCATCTGGAATCCGACTGGTTGCGTGTGCTTTCCTGGCCAAGGGGCGTTGCTCCACTTGGTTGGGATTTGGTCAACATAATCAAGGCACGAGCTCTGGGCAATTTTTCCCCTCACTTGTTAAGCCATCTTTACCTCCACAAACAGGATGGTGGTAGAGATGGTGGAAATCCAAAAATTAAAAACGAAAAAGGACAAATTGCCCGAATCCCACCTCCTGAAAGGAAGCATCTTTTTTTTTTGGCCAGTTGTCTTCTCCACTCACCACCCTGGTGGGGACTTAGGTAAATCTGAGGAGCTGCTGATTACAGTGCAGACAGGTGCTGGGTGCTGCTTCTCCACTCCACCTGCTGCAGGGACCAGGACAGTGCTGGATTTGTCCTGTTCATTTTCAGGGACCTGGAGGGTGGCCGTTGAGCTTGCCGGGCAGAGTGTGTGCCACCCAGAACCGTTCATTCCTTGGAAGCAGCGCAGGAGCCCTGTTGAGGTCCAGTTCAGATCCTGCTGGCCAGCATGTCCTCCTGGAGTCCCTCCTGAATCTCTCAGGGCCCTTTCCTCTTCCTCCCCACAGCCCATCATGCTAGAAAAACAAGTGTTAGATTAGCAGGGACATGCTTTCTCTCCTGGAGCCTCAGCTTCTCCAGCTCAAGTAGGGACGGTGACGCGGGCTCTACCTGACCGCTGCTGGAGGACAGGCTGGCCCAGGTGGGAGGAGCTGCTGTTGTCACTGCCCTGGTCAGGAGTCCTTCAGTTGTGTCTGTCTCTTCCTCCTGACACTCAGGGGCCATGAGTGTTAATCTGTGTTTTCCCCAGAGCACCTGGTTTAAGTCCAAGTAATTTTCTTCCAATGAGTGCTCCTGACATTTCTGTAATCAAAAAGATCTGCCATGTATGTATCATTTCACGGAGGCTGGATGAGCTGGCCCAGTGGCCATCCACCCTGCAGTAACTGCCAAGGTCAAGGCCGTTCTGAGCACCCACACTGCCAGGAAAGCACAGGTGAGGCAGCACTCCTGGGGGGCTGTGTCTGTCACTCATGACTCACGTGGTGGCTGTCCTGGAGGCCTCCTGAGGCTGATTCAAGAAGGAAATGGCAGGTGTCAGTGGGCCATAAGCTGTGAGCTTGGAGACCTCCCACCAAGTTCAAAGGAAGCCACCTGTGGATAGCTGGTTCTGGACGGAAGTCCTGAGCTATTAGTACTAGCCTTAAAGCCAGAGAGACCAAGCCACATCCCCCTTATCTCATGTGCTTCCAGGGGGTCTCCTGAGCCCAGCTGCGCTCTCCTGCCTAATACAGCTTAGTCCTAGAGAGAGCTCTGGGACTTCTAGACCTCTAGACCTCTAAACGCCCGGACGCCTGAGCTTGCACTTGACACTTGAAGTGCTCTTTCCTCCTGAATTCTTGGGGGAGGTGGCTTAGCAGAGTGGTAGTCCCGGCCCAGCACTTCCTGTCTGTACCTGTGGGCTCCTCTCTGAGCCTTGAGTCCCTCATCTATGAAGTGGAGACCCTGCCATGAACTGCAGTGTAGGGGGCTTCCTGAGGGTCTGAAGAGAAGGTGTATAATGTAAAGGGCTTAGTGCAGCGGGGTGAGCCGTTGTCGTGTAGTATTCAGATGAGGAAATTAAATCTCAGAGATGATCATTAACTTGCCCAGAGCCACAGGCCTCAAGTCAAAAATTGAACCCAGGCCCCTCTGACTTCCAAATTGTGCAAGGTCCACTGTGAGAGAGGGAGCAGAGGCCCGGGAGCAGCACTGCGTTCTGTGTCCTGTCCTACGCCTGCTGGCTTTGGGACGTGCCTGTTAGACAGACGCAGGAGGACCCCACGGTGCGGTGCGGCTGGGGAGGACCGGGAGATCTGTTTGCAGAGCCCCCTGGGGTGCAGAACTTGGCAGGAACAGTCCCTCTATCTGGAGGTCAGCCCCCAGCAGGAACCTCCAGCTCTTGGGTTCTCCAGTTTTGCGTGGGGTTTGCTTTCTGTACTGACTGGCCACGGGGGTCACTTCACCTGAGCGTCCTGTGTGCTGAAGAGGAGTGGCTCTCTGCACATCAGTTCCCTGTCCCATAAAAAACAAGTAAATATGGAATACAGTGGTTCAATGTCCTGGTGCCTTGTCTGTTTGTGCTGGTGCTGGGGGATGGGATGGTGGAGGGTGGGTTGCCTGGAGCTGGCCTGTGGCCAGGCTGAGAAATTTGTCCTCATGCCTAAGGCCTTTTGGGGAACTTTACATTAACTTAGAACAGGCAGACCAGACTCTGATGGGAATGTCTTATTGGCTGTGGAGTTGTTTTAACCTTCACTCCCTGGGAGCACTGGGACCTAGCCCAAGGCCCAGGGAGACTAAGGGCAGAGCCGTGCAGAGACACACGCATCTGCTGTCTAAGATGTTCTGTGACCTTTGTAGACGTGTCAGCCAGATAACAGGACAGAACAAATCTGCCTCCGCTTCAGGGTCTCCCCTAGCGGAGGACCTTGGCCTCATAGAAACCAGACGTCTCAGTGGGCAGAGCCAGGCCCTGTGGTAGTTCAAGG